GGAAACAGGTTCTGAGAAGATGAGCGTGTGCATTGGCAGGAGCTGATCAGCTTTGCCCCTTCCTCTGGAGGAGGGTTGCTGAGCTCTGGGAGCACGGCCCCCTCCTGCCGTCGGTGAGAGCGCCGGAGAGCGGTGGGCCGTTGCTCTGAGTGGTCCTGGAGGCCGGTGGCAGGTGGGGCCCCGGTTCCTGAGTTTGCACGGCTGCCGTGAGCAGGCCCTCCCTCCCGTGATGCTGCCACCGCCTTGTCGCTCCTGCCTTGGGTTTGTGTGACCCCGTTAGATGCTCTCCTTTGTTCTAATAGGTTTCAACTGATTTTCTTGGGTTTTCTTGGCAAACGGTGATGCCTGCTGCAGACGATGAGAGCCCCATCTCTTCCTTTTCTTACTCTTTGCTTCGTCTCAGTGGGAGCCGAGGACGCCCATCGTGGTGGGCAGACTCTGGTGTTCCCAACTGGAGTGGGAATGCCTCCAGGATTCCATTGCCTGGATTTTTTTTGGTTGTTGTTAATCAAATTAGGAACGTCTCCCCCTATATCTAATGTATTAATGGGTTTGGGGGGGTCTTAACAAATCTTTTTTCTGTATCTACTCACAAGATCATGTGGATTTTCTCCTTTAATTTCTTTTTTTAAAATAAATTTATTTATTTATTTTTGGCTGCATTGGGTCTTCGTTGCTACGTGTGGGCTTTCTCTAGTTGCGGCGAGCAGGGGCTACTCTTTGTTGCGGTGCGCGGGCTTCTCGTCGTGGTGGCTTCTCTTGTTGCGGAACGTGGGCTCTAGGCGCGCGGGCTTCAGTAGTTGTGGCACGTGGGCTCAGTAGTTGTGGCTCGCGAGCTCTAGGGCACAGTCTCAGTAGCTGAGGCGCACGGGCTTAGTTGCTCCGCGGCACGTGTGGTCTTCCCGGACCAGGGCTCGAACCCGAGTCCCCTGCATCGGCAGGCGGATCCTTAACCACTGCGCCACCAGGGAAGCCCTCCTTTAGTCTCTTTGCATGGTGGAGTATATCGCCCTCTTTTTTAGGTAAGCCCCACTTGGTGTTGCTGGTGCGGTGCTGTTGTGCGCTACCGCGCTCCATTGGTAGCAGTTTACTTAGGATTCTTGCGCCAGAGCATTAAGGGAGATTGTCTCACATATACACTGGTGTTGCCTGCCCCTGATTTGGGTGATGGGATTAGGAGAATAAGCAAAGTCGCTTCTGTTTCTGAGCTTTGGAATGGTTTGACTGAGGTGGCAGAACTTGTGCAACTACTGGGGCCTGGGGCCTTTGGCCGGAGAAGCAGGTTTTTGACCACTTTACCCTCCTCAGTTTTGCTTGACTCCTTGACCACCAAGGGGGCGTATTTGGGAGGGACGGGAAGCAGGAGTCCTGGCCCTCAGAGGGGTTCCCCTTGGCCGCCTGTAGGCAGTGCAGCTGCTGGTAAACAGGACGGCCCCGTATCAGGTGCACCTGGCTTCCCCACGCCCCACTTTGTGGGCCTCTTCCTAGGCTGTGTGAGCCCAGAGGTCCTCACCTCCCGTCGGAGGGACGGGGAGTCCTGGCTGCACGCGGGGTTCTGAGGATTCTGTGCCACATGCTGCATTCACAGTGCCTGGCACACGGCTGGCACTGGGTGCTGGGGCCCTGGCTCTGCCTCCCCTGGGCCCGGAGGGTCAGGGCACGTGAGCACATGTGCACCAAACTGGGAGATGACTTCCCGCCGTGTGTGCCGGGTGTTGGTTTCCTTTCTCCTCCTTAGCCTCCCTTGTTGGATCCCGTAGGTCGGCATCCCGAGTCTAAGCCCCCCAGAGGGGCCTCCGGCCAAACTGGGGAGACCGTGATGGGGAGCTGGCCATCCCAGGAACCTGACGCTTGGGGTCAGACCCTTTGTCCACTGGAATTTGGCCAAACTGCTAGCTCACCAGCCCCAAATTAAAAACTGACGTGGATTACGCACCCGTGTGCTAGATACCACACTGCACACCTCAACCTTGCTGTCTCCTTACATCTTTACAGTCACCTGCTAAAGGTAGAAGGCGTCAGGATATTCATTTACAGATGAGGGAACTGAGGCTCAGGGAGGTGAAGTGACTTTCATGGGGCCACCCAGCATGGACTAATGGGGCAGGACCGAGCCCGCTCAGTCATCAGGACCCTTGGTGGCTCCCTGGGCCTGCGGGTTTATGCCAACGGGCCCTGAGAGTCCCCAAGGCCTTGCCGGGGAGGGGGCTGCTCTGCCCTGGCTCGGCAGGGTGTTGGTGAGTCGCACAGAAGAAGTTCCATGCCTTGTCCTGAGGGCAAGCTAGGGCCGGGGAGATGGACGCCTTCTTTATGCCACCGAAGCACTGAGTTCTCATAGAAATCGGCCGTTCTTCCATGTGGCCAGCACACAGAACAGAAAGGATAATGGGCGTGGTTTGGGGGTCCCAGACTTCCTCCCGGCCCCTCTGGGCCCGCAGGGAAGAGCGAGTGGGAAGGGGAGACGAGGAGGCAGAGGTGGGGCCTTGCTTTTGCCCCACCTGGACCATCTCAGCTCCGAGGGGGATGGGACCCCCCACACTCCTGCATGCCCAAGAGCTCTCAGCGACACAAGCCTTTGGGCTTGGAGAGAGGCCTCAGCCAGCCCCCTCGTTCAGCCACCTCCCTCCTACAAGTGGCACCATTCCAGGAGACCTGGGGCCCTGGTTCTTGGCCAGCACAACAAACACTCAGGTTCATGTGGGCTTTCGGCTCCGCTGGTGCAACGAGGCATGATGCCAGGAGGCCTGTGGGGTATCTGCTCTGCACCCTGTGCTCACTCCAGTGTCCGGTGTCCCAGCAGCACCGTCAGGGAAGAAGGGCAGCGTCCCCCGTCATCCTCCCCAGGCCACAGCGTGTGGGCAGGGGCCTGGCCTTCTGACTCCTCGTGCACTTTCTACCCCCGCTGTGTCCCCCTGAAGCAAACAGCGGCCCTGGGTTCCGAGCGCTTCCACGGGCCCTGCCGTGTCCGGGCCTTGAGGCCAGGAGAGAAAACCCAAAGCAGGTCAGAGTGGGGAGGGGGTCAGAGGCAGCCACGCCCGGGGAGCTGCAGCCTCTTGGGGTTCTTCCATTGAAAGGGGCTTTTGGCAAGAAAGGGGCAAAAGCAAGAAGATGCAGCCCCCAACCTCAGCCCGTGTGGTTCCCCCGCCTGCGTGCCCCTACCCACGGCCCCACCAGCTTGTGACTAAGGAAAAACATGCAGCCACGCTGATGCAATTAAGGAAATGTTATTTCTCAAATGCTGCCAGATCCTCGGGGTTGACCCCGAGACCCGGGAGGACAGCACGCAGGCGTGTTGGGCCCACGTGGTCTCTCGCAGCCTCGGCCTGGGACGGTCCTTGAGCAGCTCCCGATGGCCGTGGGATGGGGGGCTGACACCTGCCTGCTGCTCGTCCAGGGGGTCGGGAGGCATGGGCCAGGCCCTCGGTGGGGGCCCAGGGAATGTGCCTGCCCTTCCCAGGTTGGGGAGGGAGAGGAGGGGTCCATAGTGCCCACCCACCCGCGTGGACCTCGTGCTCCAGGTGAGTGGCCCTGGCCTCCCAGCCTCTCGTACAGCCTGCCCGTGGTTTTTCAGCGTGGGAGTGAGTGTGGTCAGCAGACCCCTGCACCTGCCCAGAGGCTGAGCTGGGCTCCTCCGTCGTCCTCCTGTCCCTTGGGGGGACGGGCTTGACAGTGGGGAGAACCCACCTCCCCCCCGCCCCAGCTCATCTGCCCTGCCTCCTGTGGTGACTGAGAAGGGGCCCAGGAGGCCATTCCCGGGTCCACCACTAAAGGGTCACAGCTGATGTGCTGCTCCCCCGACCCCGGGGTCTTGGCTCTTAGAAGAGTGAGTGAGGGCTCAGCCCAGCGGGCAGAGGCTGCAGGGAGATATTATAACTCCTGCCTCCCCACCAGTGTCCCACCGGGCGCTGAGGGGCAGCACCTAGGGTTGGCCTTGGGCTGGACTCAACCTGGAAGGCCAGGTGGTTGCCAGAGGGCCGGGAGTCCCCGGGGTCTGACCTGACTCCCACTTGCGCTGGTGGCCCGGCCCCGGCCCTGCCCACCTGCACCATGGAAATGAGAATCCCCACTAGTTAACTAGTTACCGGTGTGCAGCTGCCCTGCTGCGTCCGGCACCACTGTGTTGTGGCTCCAGGGGTAGCTAGCGAGCCTCTGACTTGGAGGGCAGAGAGGGCCTGTTGTGATGTCCAGACGGCCCTGGGGGCTGCTGCCCTGGACGCTGGGAACTGGGAGCCTCGGTGCGTGAGGGTAACTGTAGCCAGAGCTCACCTGGGTGTGGGAATGGGGGCAGGAAAGGGGAAGGAGCCCTGGAAGACGAATGTCGGTGCCCCAGGAGGCTGCAGACTGCCAGGGACCCTCCCGGTTTACCGGGTGTGACCCCTGCTCTACCACTGCCAGGTGATTGGGACAGGGGTCTCTGTGGCCTCAGAATCCTGGTGACACTGGGCAAAGGGATCCCGCCCTCCCCTGCTGACACCCCCTCGCAGGCTCTGATCCGAGCTGAGCTGCTTGGCCCCAGGGAGGCCGCAGATGAGGGCCTCTTCGTAAGCCTCCTGGTCGCTTCCCCCGAGCTCAGCAGCCTGAGGGTCTGGAAGGGGGTCTTTGATGGGGAGCTGGGTGTCCTGGACCCTGAGGAAGGCTGCGCAGCCGGCTTTGGCAAAGTCTGCGTGGGGGGAGCCGGGAGGGCTTCCACGGCCCCCGCGGCATCGGGGGTGGTGTGAGCGCCTGCCCCTGCTATCGGCAGTGGTGGACCTCCCCAACGCCCTGGAGGTGCTTTGTTCGGAGTGGGCCGCGCAGCCCGGCAGCAGCTGTGGGCGCAGCGGCGGGGCTGTGCTGCGCGGCCAGGCGCGTGGGGGGCGGGGCGGGCCTGGGGCGGCTGGGCGCGCGGGCCGGGGGTTGGGGGGCCCGGGGGCGGCGGGGCGGGCGGGGGCTGTGCTGGCCGGGGGCCGCCCTGCGCGGCGAGCGCGGGCGCAGGCTGAGGGGGCGCTGGCGTGTGCCCGCAGGCAGCCCGGCGCCGGGGACGGCGGCCGCGGGGACGGCGCGCTCCTGGACACTGTCAGCCTCAAGATGAGCGACCTGGACTCGAGGTCGTGGCCTTTCCACCGCGGTACCGCTTCCGGGACCTGCTGCTGGGCGACCAGTCCTTCCAGAACGACGACAGGTAGGGCGGGGGGTCGGCGCGCGGAGTTGTCCGTGGTGCTGAAGGCCGCCGCTGCGCCCGCGCTGCCTGGGGCCCGCGCCCTTCAACTTTCCCGGGTTTCCGGGACCCCGAGAAGTTGGGGGGTGGGGAGGGTGGGAAGCATTTTCCCGGGAGGAGCCTGGACGATGAGACGGGAGGCTCTGTGCTGGGGAGTCCCAGAGACCAGTCCCCGGGCCAGCCTCTCCGTCTCTGCCCACAGGCCCCCAGTCCCTCTGGCAGCTCTGCTGATTTGGGGCACAAGCCAGGGCCGGAAGCGCCACGTGGCGAAGCCCCGCAGGCTGGCTGAGGGCTGGCGTCCTCCAGACGCTGGCTGTGGTCATTTATTATTAATTAAGGGAGCTCATGTTGTGGTCACCAGGGATGACAACGTGCCCTCACCTCGGATTCTCCTGGGGGCACAAAGCAAAATGAACTTGAGTCTTTCGGCAGAGGACCAGCAAAATGAGCCCTTGGAAATAATTCATGTGCTGAGGAGGCTGGCAGGAAACTGGGAGAAATGTTGCTTTTCTCTGCCCTTTCCCCAAATAGCTGTCTCAGTAAACACCCAGCACCATAGCTCCATCAGCCTCGGGGGAAGTTCTTTATGCGTGCAGGGACTCACGCTGGAGCCTGTGGGACTTCGGACCAGAACCACTTCCCTTGCAGTGTGTTGGGGGAGGGGCCCCGGTGTCTGCGGGTCTCCTTCCCCACCAAGCCCTGAACTGGGCTCGTGAATCTGCAGTTGTCCCAACAGTGCAGTTATTCAAGTTAGCACGTAAAGTCCGTGAGGTTGGAATTCGTCAGGGCACAGATCAGGCTCTCAGAATAATTCAGTGCTGAAGCTGTAGCTGGGAAAGAAATCGTGCTTGTGGAGGAGGCCAGCATGTAAGGACTGTGTGTGAGACTTGGGGAAAGTGAGTTTAAAATGCATTCTGACTGCCGGAAACAGAATATCCTTCCAGACCTCCCGTAGCATTCAGTTGCATTCTCCAGGTAGAATCAGGAGGAGAGATGGAACCCAAGGGCTTCACCCACATAGAACCAAGGGTGCAAACCCAGCAGAGGGGCACATTAAGGCCGTGTAGTTTTTATCTTGGTGGACTGAGTACTGTGGTAATAGGTAAACCCACCCGAAAACACACAGCCAGGTGGAGAGTTCGTTTAGCTACCTGGGTGGGCAGAGGCAGAGGAGGGCAAGGCTGGGCACTTCTCTAAGCCAGACGTGAGCTCAGCACCTTCCTGAGTCAGCACCAGGCCCTCACTGCCTGCTCCGCTGGGACTTGATTAATTCTCGATAACAGCAGCCCCAGAGGTTCTTTCAGAGGTGGGCAGGAAACAGCATCCATCTCCCCGAGTGGGCCTGGGGCCTCCAAATGCTCCAGAAATGCCAGTGACTGCAACTGATGTAATTGCAGTGACACATCCCTTAGATTTTAGGAGTGGATGGCAGGTCCTTGCCGTCAGCCAAGGGTGGCGTGTGTCTGCCTGGAGGGAACTGTCCCTGTCCCCTGGGAAATGGGAAGCTGGCACTGAATCCTCCACCGTGCTCTGGACCCTGTGGCTTGGGAGGGTGGGGTTTATTGTGGTAAAATATACAAAACCTAAAATATAAAGTGACATTTGGTACATATACATCATCACCACTATGTAGTTCCAGAGCATTCTATCACCCCAGACAGAAACCTCGTACCCGTGAGCAGTCACTGCCCTGCAGCTCCTGGCAACCCCCCAGTCTCTGTCCTCCTCGGCCTTGTGTTCAGGGGGAAAGTCTCCTGTGTGCTGGGCCCAGGGACTTTGTGCTTGTGTGCCCATGGTGCTCAGAGACGGGCTGTGTGTGTGTGTGTGTGTGTGTGTGTGTGTGTGTGTGTGGCGCGGGGGGAGTCCTCCAGAGGACAGGCCCCCGCGGTCCCCGGACAGGCGTGGAGACCCTGCGCTGCACGTGTGGAGAGGTGGTAAGGATGTGTCTGTACGTCGGGTGAGGGAAGGGAGCAGGCACTGGGGCTGAGAGGCTGTGGGGTGGCCGGAGGGCCCGAGAGGCTGGAGGCCAAGGACGCCAGCCTGCCCCACCAGCAGGGCCGTGTGCACTCAGCCCGTGCTTCCGTGTGCCCCAGGAACAGTCCCACAGAACCCGGGGCTGGGCCGGGGCCGGGGTCCTGGGGCTGCAGGAGGAAGGGCCGGTGGCCTGGGCGAATCGGCACTGCAGACGGGGGGCGTCGTGGGTCCGGGGAGGAGAGCTGTGCTTGCCCTCCCGCGCGTGCTCCTGGGTCCCTGCCGCCTGGGCTCCTTTCCAGCCCCACTCACGTGCCCCAGGGCAGCCTCTGTGGGGTGAGCGGGGGCGCTGCTGCCCGACTCCTGGCAGGCTGTGGGTAGGCGGCCAGGGCTGTGGGCTTCCTGTTCTCCAGGGGAATAAAGCCACAGCCATGAGTCACCACAGCCTCACACACCGTGGCCTTGGGGGGAGGGGGGGCTCAGCCCACGTGAGCGAAGGAGACTGCTCGCCAGCCTCTTGCAGGGCGGGCAGCGAGGAGGCAGGCAGAGCCAGGACTGGCTCACCTTCAGGGGGCAGCCAGGGTCCTAGGGGACCCTCATCACTGCCTGTGGCCGGGTCTCAGGGCTCCTGGGGAGCAGGGCTCTAGGCAGAAGCCCTAGACCTGGACCCTCCAAGGTCTAGGCCTCGGGGCTCCCTGCCCTGTCCCGGGTCAGCTCACTGCCCCTTTGCCCCAGGAGCCAAGGGGCAGCTCCAGGAGGCCCCTCCCCGTCCGCAGCGGACCCTCCAGTGTGCCTGGTGCACCTGGTCCTGGAGGATGGACCTGGGGCTTTGAGGGCCCCCTGTGGGGCTCAGGGGCTGCAGGCCTGGCTGGGCGGTGAGCCCCCATGCCCGCTCTGCCTCCTGCAGAGGGCCAATTGTGGCCCAGCCTGGAAGAGGCGGCTGCGAGGGGAGCGGGAAAGGGCTTTGCAGACGGGGCTTTGGTCATTTTAAGTGTTGCTTCCTTTCCTGGTCTGTAACATGGACACGAGGCTTCAGCCAGCCGCCACACCTCACACCCTCTCTGCACTGCGGTGCGGGGGACACGGGCTGTCCCACCACAGGCTCGTCTCCCATGAGGGTTAGAACCAGCCAAAGGCTGGGGTGGGCAGAGCCACAGGTGAGGAGAAGGCCCGGCCAGGTGTTCTCCTGGCTCGTGTGCTGGGACCAGCTGCCTGTCCGGCCAGGACCCCAGCCCGCAGCGGGAGGTGACGTCAGGGTCCGTGCCCCTCTCCCTCCAGGCATCTAGTGGAGGACGGGGTTGGGGGTGGGGAGGTGTGTGCGCCCCTCTGGGGGCTCCGGGGCAGCGCGGCTGCAGGGAGGTGAGGAGGCCAGGCCTCCAGGGTTAGAGCGCTGCCCAGAAGGGCCCTGTTCCGTGTTTCCCTGAGCTCTTCCAGCAACAGAGGATGGAGCCTGGCTGCTGCTATGGGATTGAGCGGCACCCCGTGTTGTTTCACCCAGCAAGCCGAGAAGTGGGGAGGCAGGCCTGTGCTGCGGGCGGCGCCCTGAGGACAGACCCCTGCCCCGCCCTGCAGGAGCCACTGTTGGCAGCCATGGCCCCCAGGGGCTCCGGGAGGGGCAGGCAGGGCTCAGAGAGGTGCCTTTGGAGCAGGCCCAGCCCCCCGGGGTCCCCTGGGTTCTCCCTGCGCGGGGGCTGAGTTCAAGCCCCTGGTTTTACCTTTAAATTCCCAGGGCCTGGCTTCTGCTTAGCCGTCAGGATGGGGCAAAGGTGGGATCCCGGCCCCATCCTGGCCAGGGGCCTGTGTCCGTCACAGACCTGAAGGCCTTGGAGGACACAGCCCACCTGGGAAATGGCGGTGGCGCAGGCTGGTGGGGCCCAGGCAGATTGGGGGGTCCCCTGCCACCTTCAGCTCCATGCAGAATAGGACTGGATGGTGCTGGGGTGCAGGGGACATGTCGTCCAGCACCCCGGAGTGTGGGTCTAAAGCCAGACGCCACACCTCCCCCCACAGCCCCTCCCCAGCCCAGAGTAGCCACCTGGGTGTTCAGGCCCAAGGCCCGGGGGTCCTCCCGGACCCCCTCCCTGCGTAAGTTGGTCACCCCTGGGGCAGCTGCTTCTGCGCCCTGGACGGCTGCCCACCCTCACGCCAGCCTCTCCAGTGGGCCCCCAACACTCCCAGCTTCCTCTGTAGCCCAGGCCTGAAACGCTTGTGCTCACCTCAGCTCCCTCCCACCTAAGCCCAGGGTCCTTCACCTCCTCCCGGGATCCGCCCACGTCCTCCGCAGCTGCACACCTTCTGCCTTCTCCCGTCTGCCTCCGTCTCTGTGGTTTCTGACTTTAAACCATAGACAGAACAGTGGCGAGCGCGCTGGGTGCATGGACACTGGGAGCTGACCCGGACGCTGCCAGGCGGCTCTCTCAGTGTCCCTGTGTCTCTTGGGGACTCACTTTCCTCTGTCTGCATGATTAGACCAAGGAAAGGCTCAGGTCCTAGCCGATTCTGTGTGCTGTGTCCCAAGGGGGTAAGATTTATATCGATCTTTCTAGCACTTTCCGGGCCTGGGGCTCATTTGCCTGCATCTCTGCCACACCACTGTAGGACTGGGCCGGGTCTAGTTCTCCCCATTGTCACCTGGGGCCCCCCCGCAGAGAGTGACCGGGGCTCCCGGGGCAGGTCGCGCCTTCCTCCAACCCTGTGTCCTTCCCTCTGGGTGGGCGTGTGGGGGCTTGGGTCACCCCCGGTCCTGGGAGGCCAGGAGCAGGCGGGATAGACAGCGAGAAGATGGAGGATAAAGGAATAAGAACAAACGGGACGGGGAGGGTGTGGGTGATGGAGGGGCGCACACAGGTGTGAGCAGCGGTGTGGTCACCTCCACACCAGCCCGTGGACACCAAGGCAGGTCGGCGGGGCTCTTGGACCTGAGTCTGCACCTGGAAGACAGCCACACTCTCAGTGATCTGGGATTAGGGTACACCAGTCAAGGTGTTAGCAGT